TATACTATACTGTATATATATATATATATATACATATATATATAATATATAGTATATATATATAACATAAAATTATAATATATAATATTATTATAATATAATAAAATTATATTTAAAAATTAAATATATTAATTTTTAATTAGTAATTATTATTTAATATAGTATTAATATTAAAAAAATAATTATAATAATTATAAATATATTAAATATAAATACTTAAATTATTTTACTTAATTAAAATATTAATTTATAATTTTATTATATATACATATATAAAAAATTTAAAATATTTTTAATAAAATAATATTAATAATAATTAAATTAAATAAATTAATAAAACAAAAATATATAATTAATTTATAAATATTAAATTAAAAATTATATATAATATAATAAATACAATAAAAAATAATAATATTCGAAATAATAATCTAACCTAAAAAAAAAAAAATGTAAATATATCCTTTAAGGTCCACGAGGATTACCAATAATCGGAAATATATTGGACATTAAATCATTATTAAAAAAAATACGATTGCACGCACGTGTTTGGTGTCATTTGGCTAAAATTTATGGACCAGTTGTACATCTGAAACTTTTATTCGGTCAATCTCTTATAATTGTTTCCGGAAGGAACGCTGTAATACAAATGTTAAGTAAAACAGAATTTGATGGGAGACCAAATAATTTCGAAATACGATTAAGAACCGGTGGTAAACGTAGAGGATTGATATTTAACGATGCAGACGAATGGTCGGAACATAGACGGTAATATTTATTTAAAAAAAAAAGCTTTTTTAAAATTGTATCAATTTTAATTTATATTATTAATATAGATTCACTGTAAAAACTTTGAAACATCTTGGTTATGATAAAACAAATATGGAAGACATGATATTAGATGACACTGTATCTTTGTTAAAAATGATTGAAAAATTGGCAGATAAAAAAGAACCAATTACTGAAATTTATGATCTCATTTCTATCGCTGTTATTGCAAGTTTTTGGTTTCTTATTACAGGATCGAAGTAAGTATATTTAACACTAAACCGGTCAACTAAACCTTGACCGGTCAAATAACAAGTTGTAAACTTTTTATTTGAAAATTCGCATAAAATGTTATCCCTTTTCCTCATTTGATTCATGACATTTTCTTTTAAATATACACAATTAATTTAACATCATTTTTTTATATTTTTATTTGTTAAATCTGAAAACACATGTAATACCTAGCCGTTATTTACCACAACAGGTCATTTGACCGGTTGCGGTACAAATAGATATATGGACCGTCTATTTTGAAAGTGGTGTAAGTCCACTTTCTTTTGTTTCTAGAAAATTAAAGGTTTGCATATCAATTCTCATTCAATTTCTTTTACCGGCCAATTTTAAATTGTACAAAGCATGAGCACTTTTTAAGAAATTAAATATTTACTATTTATTCATTAAAAGTTTACCTTAAATTAAGCATACATTACGTGATCTCTCTTTTTTTTTTTTAACTAGACTTACACCACTTTCATAATAAATAGTCCATATATTAAGTCTCAGTACACGTTTAGTGTTAATTTAAATAAATGTTTATATTTAATAAAACTTATATTAAATATATTAAATGAATTAATTTCAATAATTATGGATAACAAATTGTATTAATTTTTCATCAGATGTCAATGTGATCAAGAAAATCCGAAATTGAAGGAAATTATAACGATAATGAAAGAAAATGTAAAAGATTACAACACGTCAGGTCATATAATAAATTATTTACCTTTTCTAAGATATATTTTTCCAAATTTAACGGGATTTACGCAAATGCAAGATCGCTATAATCGAATGTGGCTATATTTCAAAGTAATACAATCAAATACATTAAAATAAAATTAATTGTTCTAATAAATCTATGTATAAACAAATATTTTATTAATCGTAGAAAATGATAAGGAAACAGGATGAGACTAAAATACAAAATGAACCGACTAACCTAATCGATATTTATTTAAATGAAATAAAAACACGTTGCACGAATTTATCTTCATCTTCATGTTTCAATGGTAAGAATATTATATTTGATATTAAAACATCTTAATATCTACATATATATTGTTTGTGTGTGTTTAACATTTATTTAATTTGATTTTGAGTGCATAAAATTATAAAATATAAATTAAAAAATATAATAACGATTGTTTACAGATGAAAACTTGATTGCATTAATCAGAGATCTTTTTGTTGCATCGATTGAAACAACCAGCAATACCATTGGTTTTGTTATAGCATTTCTATCTGTAAAACAAGATATACAAAAAAAGATACACGAAGAATTGGACGATGTACTTGGGAAAGATATTTTACCATGTTTAGCAAATAGAAATCGGTATTATTTGATATTGTTTTTTATTTCACAATTTCTTTTTTTTTATAACACTATTATTAAATCATAATTGAATATTAACATAATAAAAGAAATAATATGATTTATCATATTAGTTATACAGTGTAATAATATAAAAATGAATAATAAATCAAGTGAACTAAGTGTAATCTAGAACATAATAGAAATCTAGTACGATATATATTAATTCATAATAATGAATTATTGTTGTTTCTATTTAAAATCTCATATACACATACATATTCATAGATTGCCATATTTACAAGCAACTCTTGCGGAAGTTGCAAGAATGGGAAACGTAGGACCGACTTCTGTACCACATCGTGCTACAAACGATGCAACATTGTTAGGATACAATATTAAAAAGAATTCAATTATGTTGGCAAATTTCATGAGTGTTCATATGGATGAAAATCATTGGGGTGATCCTGAAGTATTTCGTCCAGAAAGATTTATCAATGAAATAGGAGAATATTGTGATGATCCTTGGATAATGACATTTGGATTAGGTATTCCATATTATTTTTAGTTTTTTTTATAAATTTATCTAATTATTATATATTTTTACTTTGTATTTTGCTAATAATATTTATATTCTATAATTTACTAATAATGATATTTGGATTAGGTATTTCATATTTATGGAATTATAATTTTTTCTTTTTTTATAAATTTATCTACTTATTATATATTTTTACGAAGTACTTTTTTTTAGTTTTTTTTTTAGTTATTTTTACTTTATAAAAATATATAATAAGGAAAAATTTGTATTTATTAATTAATTACTGTATTTACTAATAAAATTAAATTATATATACAATATATCTATATATATAAAATACCTAATATTTAATATTTTAATTATTACAATATTACAATATTTCAAAATTTAATATATTATATATAATATAATATTTATATATATAATATAATTTTATTAGTAAATTATAGAATATATATAATATTATAATTTTATTAGTAAATTATAGAATATATAGAATATATATAAAAACAAATTATATTATAATATAATTATATTATATATGTATATAATATAATTTGGTTTTTTCGTTGTTATTACAGGTCGTAGAAGATGTCCAGGTGAAATTCTTGCAAAAAATATACTCTTCTTAGTCACAGCTTCCATGTTGCAAAAATTTAACTTTGCCCTAGCATCAGGATATCCCGAACCTAATTTATTGGGTATCGATGGTTTCACCATTTCACCCCCACCATTAAATCTTGTCATTAAAAAACGAATATAACAAATCGTTAAACACTAATATAAAAAAAAAGAAAACCTAACCTCAATGTATCTAATTATGTATGAACAATTGCAAAAATATCAAGTAAACAAACAATACAATAATTATCATTATATTACTTATTATAAATAAATAAAAAAAAGACTGATACGTAACATGCCATTTATAATTTGTAAAATTGTTATTTACTTCGATCTACGATGTCATTTTTTTACAGTCAATCCTGTTAAACGATGAAACGCATAATTTTTGAAGAAGAAAAGTTTTCTTAAAAGAAAAACAAATCGAACAATGGAATTTACCTTTATTATTTTTCATCTTTTAAATACAAGAATCTTATTTTTCTTCAGATCTCATTCATGACAGTCTATTTACATTCGATAGGCAAGTAGTAATAGTAATAGTAATAATAGTAGTATATTCTTGTATTTACAGGTAATATATTCGCCGTTAATAATAATAAGAAAAAAAATATATTAAGGCGAGAAATTTTTCTCATTCTTCCTCAATTATAATCAGCGATTCTTTATTTTTTTATTTGTTCCTACGAATATGTGGAGTAAACTTCATCAAGATTAATTTATAATAAAAAAAAAAATTATTTCACTTTGTTACTTTTTTCTACGATATAATAATATTTCATTCAGCGAATAATTCATTCGATATATTCGCATTGTCTCGTCATAATAATAATAATAATAATAATAATAATAATAATAATAATAATAATAATAATAATAATAATAATAGTAATAATAATTTGACAAAACTATAGTAAATCGAATGAAATCATTGGAAGACTTTAAAATATCGCCTTTCAGTCAACGAAGTCATTAGAATATTTATAATTCAGCTTGCAGCTAAATATTTGTTTACTTCGTTTGCAACATGACAAAATTTGCTAATAATAAATTTTTTAAATATCGAAATAGCAAAATATCATTATATTATATATATTTATATATATATATATATAACGAACAGTTAATTGAAAAAACTTTTCAGAACTGTTACACGTAAAAAGGCGCGTAGAAAAATTGGAATTGTGTGTGAATTGTTAACCCTTTGAGTAGTATGGACGCATATATGCGTTTAGTAAAAATTACTAACCTTATCGTTCGAAACATAAGTGTTTGTTATTAATATTAATGTATAATAAAGTAATTTAATATTTATATTAATCAATGAAATTATATTCAGAAAGAAAAATTTCAATTATTAAATATAATTTATTTAATTATTATAATTTATTATATTAAATATTTAAAATAATAAATTATAAAATAATTTAATTATATAATAATAATTTAATTATTTTAATTATATGTATTTAATTTATATTAAAATAATTATTATTTTATAAAATTAAATTATATTTTATAATTTATTATTTGAAATAATAATTATTTTATTATTTAATAATAAATTTAATTTAATTTAAATTAATTATAATATTATAATATAATATAATATAATAATAATATAATATAATATAATATAATATAAT